AGCCTATGTGACACCTTAGTGCGAATTAGAAAAAGAGGTCCTTCCGTTGGGGGACCCAGCGGGGTCGGGATGGAGGGGCAGGGGGTAGGGCTTGGTATGTGGACTGCAGGCTGCTTCAGCCTCACCTGGCTCCTCAAGGTTCCCTGTGCAGTGAACAGCCTGCAAAACACTCTGTAGCAGCCCGCACAACACTCTGTAGCAGCCCTGCCCAGAATGCCCCCAAACTCCTTCTCAACCCATCCTGTGAGCGCCCACTCTAAGAACTCGTCTTGGCCAGATGGTCAATTTAGCTGAATTTGCTCTCATTGGGTGCACGGCAGGAAAGTGGGCAAGATTTCTCTGTAAATGCATGGGGCTGGTGCTTATTTGCAAGCCGGCTTTAACAGGTCTGTTCTGTCCCCATTAGCTACCCAAGGCCACTCCCCAGCCTCCAACTCCCAGTATGGCTATTTAGAAAAGTTGGGGGCAGTCTCTCTGCAGCATCCTGACTTCCCGAGCCTCTGGCACTCTGTAGTAAGAGCTGGGATCCCCAGTGACGCTGGAAATTGCAACCACTGCATTCCAGACCTGCATCCCATTCCTTATCATCCCTGCTGGCAGCATTCCCAAGCCAGGAGGACGTAATGTAAAAATTGCCTCCCTCCCCGCATTTTGTCCCCAGCCTCCCTGTGGGCCAGCCAGCCAGGGGCTGATGACCCAGTAAGCAAGATAAGCATGAGCTTACTTGTGCTTACTTACTAATCTGCAGTGAACAATGTCTCTTTGAAATCCATGTGAAATTGTTCACCACAGATTAGTAAATAAACACATGTAAACCTGTGCTCACCTTGCTTACTGGGTAATCTGTCCCTGTTAGGGATTGTAAACTTGAAAAGACGCTTTGATTCTGTAGAAGGTGCTGTGGGGTCGGGAGAAAGACAGATGCCAGCCATACCTAGAAGCAGAATCTTTGATGCAGTGAAAAAACGGAAATTGTTCACTTCAGATGATCTGGTAAGTAAGGTAAGCACCATGTTTACCTTGCCTATTGGCTCACCAGCCCCATGGGACAGGTGCCTGAGAGCCAGTCCTCTGGGCCACACAGACTCCCAGAACATCAGAGCAACAACTGTTGAGACACCATCAAGCTGGGAAACCAGGACTCAAAAAGGGGAATTCCCTCACTCCAGCCCACATGGCCAATGGCAAATGCCCAAGCATTTTAAACGTCCTTCCTGAGCTGATAGCTGGAAAATTTGCAAAAGCTTTTGGGAACCCATATGTACAGAACAAGCTGCACTGGTGGCCCCAGCTTTTCTACGTGAGAGAGGTTTCCAAGCGGCAATCTCATGCTGAGGGTAGCAGCGGATGCTGAGGATGCTTGTCTTGAAGCTACATTTTCACAGCAAACAAAGTTTGTAAGTTAGAGCACCGTGCCTTCATCTGGGGAGGCTATCACAGGGCTGGTTAAGACCACAGGAATTGTCTAGAGGCTGCATTTGCATAGCAAACACACTGTGTTTCTTTAAATGTCATAGATCAATACAAACAGCAATGTTCTCTACAGATGCTTTTATTCACATTGTACATTAGATTGAGAAACATGTGGGTTGTTAATAACCAAGAATATAATAATGACAATTACAATAAATATTATTAGATGGGAAGGGGAGGCTTTGGGTATACTGATAGAGATTCTGAGGAATTCCTGTGTGGCACGAACAGTTAAGCACTTGGACACTAACCAAAAGGTTGGCGGTTTGAATCCACCCAGAGGTGCCATGGAAGAAAGGCCTGATGATCTACCTCCAGAAGATCATAGTCATTGAGAACCCTATGCAGTGCAGCTCCACTCTAACACACGTGGGGTTGTCATGAGTCCGAATCGACTCGTGGCAGCTAGTTTGGTTTTTTAAGATAACCCAAGCAGCAGAGTGGAGCCCTGGTGGCACAGTGGTTAAGAGCTCTGCCACTAACCAAAAGGTTGGCAGTTCAAATCCACCAGCCGCTCCCTGGAAACCCTGTGGGGCAGTTCTACTCTGTTCTATAGAGTCGCTGTGAGTCAGAATCAACTCGACGGCATCGAGTTTCGTTTTTTTGGTTTTAAGCAGCAGAGTTGGTCCCTGGGTGGCACAAATAGTTTGCACTTGGCTGCTAACCTAAAGGTTGGCAGTTCGAACCTACCCAGCCATGCTAGAGAAGAAGGGCCCAGCAATCTGCTTCTGTAAAGATCACCATCATTGAAAACTCTATGGGGCACAGTTCTACTCTGAAACACATGGGGCGTCAACCGTGAGTTGGAATTGACTCAATGACAACAGGTTTTTCTAAGCAGCAGAATCTGCCTCCTAAGAAGAAGCTCTGGTTTATCAACCACTTAAAGAGGCAGTGACATCTAGGGCCTCTCCAAGGGCCCCCCTCCCCTCCCAGGGATCTAGAGGGAACAAGGAGTGGTTCTTACTGAATTATAACTAAGGAGAGATTGTAAAGCACAGTGGTTACGAGCATAGACTCTGCATTCTGGGTTCATACCAGCTGTGTGACGTTGGGCAAGTCATCTAACTTTTCCGAGCCTCCGTTTCCTCACCTGTCAAAGAGGGATGCGAGCGGCAGCTATCTCCTCTGCTCTTGTGGAGGTGATCCAGTGAAACCTGTGAGAGCCGGAATTCAACAGGACTGCCTTGTTTTTCTGGTCTTGTAAGATTTTTGCCTTTGACAGGGTGCAGTCATCACTTTTCTATCGTTTATTTTAGTGGAAAATATTTGAGTTTTCCTTCTCTAACAGATTTCTGTCTTAACGCCCGTTCCGGCTTTCTCAGGTTTTGGTGTGTAAGACAATGCCCAAGAAGGTCTTAGCATGGTGTCTGGCACATAGTAAACACTCGATAAAACAGCACTTCTCAGGCTTAGAGTCCCTGCGTGGAGCAGACAGTTAACACTCAGCTACTAACCGAAAGGTTGGCAGTTCAGAGTCACGTCAGAAGAAAGGCCTGGTGATTGCTTCCAAAAGGTCACAGCCAAGAAAACCTTACGGAGTGCAGTTCTGCTCCGCAACACATGGGGTCTCTATGAGTCAGAATCTACTCCAGGGCAACTGGTTTCTTTCTTTTTTAAAATCAGGCTTGCTGCAATCACAGGCGGTTACAGGCATCACTGTCGGGGTTCATACACAAACAATTCACTGTGAAGCTAATGATGCTTAAACTCCAGAGCACCTTCCAAGCCCTGTACTGAATTTTGGATTTGTAAATCCATATTCTTTTTCTTAAAGAAACCCAAACCAAACCAAACCCATTGCTGTCGAGTCGATTCCAACTCATAGCAACCCTATAGAGAGCTCCCCATATAGTACATGCTTCAGGCACCGTAACACTTGGATCTGCCCCAGGGTTCACAGAACTTCCTATCGGGCAGAGCAGAGAGAAGCTGTGAGACCTCCTTCCCCCTGAGGACAGAGACCCTGTTTCATCTCTTCTTCCCCGGAGCTCCGCCTGGGGCCTTGTAGACAACAGTAATCAGTCAAGTCTCCTTTGTCCACCCTTCCACCACTGATGCTTTAGAACCCCAGGTGACTTCCTCACTCAGCCCGTCACATCAATTCCGAGCACCTAGCACGGTGACAGCCCCATTATACAGACAAGGAAAAGAAAGTGAACCCAAAGAAGGAGATTGGCTCAAGGCTCTGGGATCAGCTAAAGGTCCAGGATGGGCACTGGCTTTTGAGTGCCCTAATCTGAAACCCAATCATGGGGATGGCGCAGGACTGGGCAGCGTTCCATTCCATCGTGCATAGGGTTGCCATGAGTTCGGGGCCAACTCGTTGGCAGTTAACCACAATCCGTATTCCAGCATTTATTGTTTATTTTCTTCCACATCAAGAAAGGCTAATAGCTTGGATAATTCCACACTAAAGGACTCGTTTGTGTATTAGCGCTGGGTCTCCTTCACACCACTAGGTATCACCTCCTCACTCCCTGCACTCAAGGAGGGCCTCTTCCTGCAGGCAGCCCTCTCTAAACACCTCTCCCATCTTCCCTGCCTCAACTGGCTGGTGCTGGGTAATGCATCACTAAACCATATCTTCTTTTGTTATTGTGGTTTGGGTGTCTCTTCCTGCAGGTAGAAGGCTTGCCTTATGTGCTTAGTGCCCTACCCTGGTGTCCAGAACGGGCTGGGCACAGGGGCCCCATAGGGACCTGCAGTACCATCTCCTTCCAGCCCCATCCGTGTTATTTTTGTAATGACAGGCCTGCCCTCAACCTGCAACCTTGGATTCTTCTAGGGATTACTTTCTTTGCATGTCTGAAAACAGCCTGGGTGCTGGATTCTGACAAATCAGGGATCAAATCGCCCCTGAACCATTTGCCGTGTGCTTCTGAGCCTCAGTTTTCTCTCTGGATAATGGGGTACATACTCCCCCCCCCGAGGGTCATTGAACAGATCTAATAAGGGGATGTGCGTAAGACAAAGCTTAGCCCTGCACCTTGCCCCTAGTAAACCGCTCATTAAACCTGGGGGTCCCCATCATGTGCAGAATAAAATCAGCCCGTGTGCATGAAGTACTTACGACGTACCAGGCATGGTTCTAAGAGGTTTACATATATCCCCTCATTTAAGTAGCTACAACTCCATGGGGTGGCGCTGTCATTTCTCTCATTTTTACATATGAGTAAACTGAAGTTCAGAGAGGTTAAGTAACTTGCCCCAGGTCACAAAGCTTGGTATTCATTAAGCCTTCATTGTGACTGTCAAGCAAAATGCACAGCACAGCGCCAAGCACATAATTAGAGGTCAGTAAAGAGAAATCTTTCCTGTAGAAGTGAGAAGATCCGGAAGGCCGAGTGGGACTCAGGCTCCAAGGAGCAGCTGGGAAGAGGGGAAGACGGTTGAGGAGGTCTGAGGAAAACATACACTGGGGACCTCGGCAGTCTGTCGCTCCAGAGGCTGGGGAGGAGAGGTCACTGCAGGTGACTCGGCCGCCGAAGGGGTGGATGGGGGCGCGGAGGCAATAGAGGCATTACCTTGGGCGGGAGGGCGAAGATCACCGGCAGCAGCACCAGCGGCGTGAGGACCAGCACCAGCAGCCGCCGCGCGCTCCATGCCTTCTTGGCCACTGCCGCCAGCGCCGCCATCAGCGCGATCACCCGGCAGAGCCGGCCAGCCCCGGACTGCCCCGCGCCTGGCCCCGACGCCGGCTTAAAGCCCGGGGGAGGGTGCGGGGAGGGGACTGCGCTTGGGGACCCGCCCTCTCTCCTCCCGGAGGCGAAGGGTGGTGCCTGAGCCCCCGGGACGAGGTGGAAGAGGCCTCAGCAAAGTTGGGAAAAGTTGGACGCAAGAACTGAGGAACGGGGACCGCAAGCCTGAGCGCAGCGTGACCTGGGATTTAAGCATCGTGGCTGCCCGGCTCTGCTGCCGCGGGCAACTGGCTTAACTTCGCTCGCCATTGTTTACTAGCCTGTAAAACGGATGATAATGACAATGTGAGGATTAAAGCATTTATAGGGTCTCAGAGCGTCTGAGTCCATTCTTCGGCAAGGGGTTTGGTTTATTATTATAAAGGAGCCCCGGTGGCACAGTGGTTAAGCCCTCAGCTGCTAACTGGAAGGTTGGAGGTTCCAATCCATCAGCCGCTATGGGCAGAAAGATGTACCGGTCGGCTTCCTAAAGATTACAGCCTTGGAAACCCTATGGGGTTCTATTCTATCCTATAGGGTCCTGTGAGTTAGAATGGACTCGTGGGCAACCAGTTAACGGGTAATTATCGTTGTTGTTGTTAGGTGCTGTTGAGTTGGGTCCAACTCATAGCAACCCGACGTACAAGAGAACAAAATACTATCTGTTCTGTGCCATCCTCACACTCTTGCTGTGTTTGAGCCCATTGTTGCAGCCACTGTGTCAATCCATCTCGTTGAGGGTCTTCCTCTTTTTCACTGACACTCTACCTTACCAAGCATGATGTCCTCCGGGGACTGGTCCCTCCTAATAACATGTCCAAAGTATGTGAGATGAAGTTTTGCCATCCTCGCTTCCAAGGAGCACTCTGGCTGTACTTCTTCTAAAACAGGCTTGTTTGTTTTTCCAGCAGTCCGTGGTATATTCTTCTCCAACACTATAATTCTGAGACATCAGTTCTTCCTCAGTCTTCCTTATTCATTGTCCAGCTTTCGCATGCATATGAGGTGATTGAAAATACCATAGCTTGGGTCAGGTGCACCTTAGTCCTCAAAGTGGCATCTTTGCTAGTTAACACTGCAAGGAGGTCTTTTGTAGTAGATTTGCCCAGTGCAATATGTCGTTTGATTTCTTGAATGCTGCTTCCATGGGTGTTGATTGTGGATTCAAGTAAAAGGAAATCCTTGACAACGTCAATCTTTTCTCCGTTTATCATGATGTTGCTTATTGGTCCAGTTTGAGGATTTTTGTTTTCTTTATGTTGAGGTGTAATCCATATTGAAAGCTGTAGTCTCTGATCTTCATCAATAAGTGCTTCAAGTCCTCTTCACTTTCAGCAAGCAAGGTTGTGTCATCTACATAACGCAGGTTGTTAATGAATCTTTCTCCAATCCTAATGCCGAGTTCTTCTTCATATAGTCCAGTTTGTTGGATTATTTGCTAAACATACAGATTGAATAAGTATGGTGGAAGGATACAAGCCTGATACACACTTTTCTGATTTTTAAACCAGGCAGTATCCCCTTGTTCTGTTTCAAGAATTGCCTCTTGGTCTACGTGTTTAATTTACTGACCCACTAGCTCACTTCCCTTTGGTTTCTGCTTAATTTACTGACAGACAGCAAGTTAAGCAGAGACCAAAGGGAAGTGAGCTAGTGAGCCCTGTGGGTGTGGGAGGAAAGCATTCCAGGAAGAAGGAAAACCCAAATGAAATGGCTCCAAGGCAGCAGTGAACTTAGCATGTTCTAGGATCAGCAAGGGACCAGAGTGCAGGCATAGGATGAGAAGGGTAGCCAGTGACTAGACCACAGGATCTTGAAGGCCCAGGGAAGGACTTTGGATTTTACGCTGAGTGTCTTGGGAATGGGGGGGTGGGGGGGAGGGCACTGTGGGGATTTAAGCAAAGTGGCAATTCTGCTTTTATTTTTTTAGAACAGTTTTATCAAGATATAATTCATATACCATATAATTCACCCATTTAAATTGCACAATTCAGTCTTTCTTAGTATATTCATAGAGTTGTGCAACCATCACTATAATCAATTTTAGAACATTTTCGTCATCCTCTGACTTAGTTCTCTAGCGCTGCTGTAACAGAAATAGCACACGTGGGTGGCTTCAACAAACAGAAATTTATTTCCTCACAGTTCAGGAGACTAGAAGTCTGAGTTCAGGGCGTGGCTCTAGCAGAAGTCCTCTCTCTGTCGGCTCTGGGGGAAGGTCCTGGGCTCTTTGCAGCTTCTGTTCCTTGGTTCCTTGGTGATCTTCACGTGGTGTGGCCTCTACCTTCCTCCGTCTCTGCTTGCTTGGTTGCTTGCTCAATCTGCTCTTTTATATAGCAAAAGAGATTGATTTAAGACACACCCTACAGTAATATTGCCTCATTAACATAACGAAGAAAACCCATTTCCAAATGGGACTGTAACCACACTGGTTATAAACATGGGTATAGGGGTTCGGATTTACAACACATATTTTTGGGGACACAATTCAATCCATAACACTTCCCAAAAATCTTTCCCCATTAACAGTCACTGTCTATTTCTCCCCAAACCCCATAGCCCTAGACAACTACTAATCTACTTTCTGTCTCTATGGATTTGCTTATGCTGGACGTTTCATATAAATAAAATAATACAACATATGGTACTTTGTGACTGGCTTTTCTCACTTGGCAAGATTCATCCATGTTGTAGCATATATCAATACTTCATTCCTTCTTATGGCCAAATAGTGTTCCGCTGTATGGTTATAGCAAATTTTATTTATCCATTCATTGGTTGATGGACATTTGGGTTGTTTCTACCTTTTGACTATTATGAATAATGCTGCTATGAACATTCATATACCAGTTTTTGCATGAACACCTTTTCATTTCTCTTGGGTACATACCTAGAAGTGGAATTGCTGGGTTATATAGTAACTCTATGTTTAACCTTTTGAGGAACTGTCAGACTGTTTTCCAAAGCAGTTGCAGCATTTTACATTCCTACTGGGAAGGTATAAGGGTTCCAATTTCTCCATATCTTCACCAACACTTGATATTATCTTCTTTATTATAGCCATCCTAGTGCTTGTGCTTTTCATTTAAAAGGATCCCTTTGGCTGAGATGATAGGGGCTTGGACCAGAGCGGTAATGATGGCAGTGGGGAGAAATGATTTGATTCCAGATATATTTTAGCAGTTGAGATGACAGACCTTGGTGCTGGTCTGATGAGGGTATAAGAAAAAGGAGTTGTTGCTGGGATCAAATCAGATGGTGGAACATTTCCTAAACTGTAAGAGCCGTCTCAGTGAGGAGACACAAGATAATTTTACGTTGTACTACATGGTATTTAAAGAATAACGTTTAATCATATGGAGTGAAAGTTAGTCCTTATGTTGATTTTAACTCTTAATTATACTTTGGAGAAAGTCTCAGTTGGGTGTTGGTACCCTTTAACACTTCATCACTTGATAATTTTCCTTTGTAATAGTCAGAGAAGGCTTTAGGGTCAGAGACTCTGGCAGGCAATACAATCTTGCAGGAATTGGACAGTATTGTTTTGTTTTTATTTTATTTATTCCTACAGTTACTTTTGACTTAGGGCAAGTGATTTTTGTTTTTATTAACGCTGGTGACTTTTTCAAAACCCTCCTTTTAAATTAAATCTATTTAAGTGTACAACGTGAAGCAACTAAAAAAAAGTATTAAGTAGCAAATGGTGCAGAAAATGCATGCCCTATGGCAAAATCGCAAAAACTGGATGCAAAGATCTGAAATTTGCCAAGCAGTGGGCTGGCAAGAGAAGTAACCAGGAAGGATGCAGTCAAGGGTCACTTCTCATCCAGGCCGTGCTGCCATCATTCCTGCAAACCCCAAGGGCAAGTCATTTCTCAATGGACCCATTCCAGGCTGTGATGAAACTTTCTCCCATGACATTTCAGGTTGGGGATTAGACCCTGAGCCTGCTCAATAACAAAACCCGTTGCTGCCGAGTCAATTCGGACTCACAGGGACCCTATAAAACAGAGTAGAACTGCCCCATAGGGTTTCCAAGGCCGCAATCCTTACAGAAGCAGACTGCCACATCTTTCTCCCACGGAGCAGCTGTTGGGTTCACAGCAGCGACCTTTTCGGTTAACAGCCGAGGGCTTAACCACTGCAGCACCAGGGTTGCTTTGCCCAGTTATGGACAGGCTTCCCCAAGGCCTTCAACCAGGCCAGAGTCAGACAGCTTGGGATGGAGGATCAAGGTTGCCAGGGAGCACTGAGGACATCTGAGGTTTGGGTGTGGGAGGATGAGTTGCTCAGGCCAGAAAAGCTATTCCTGGGGATTCTGCCCAGCTAACATCACAGAAACTCTCATCCATTCCCCAAAGCCTGAACTAATGCAGTTGGGAACCAGGGTGTATCATGCCCAGAGTCCCTGGGCTGGCTCCCCTGCTCCAGACCCAGCTGACAGGTTAAGAGTACAATATTTGATATGAGAGCCGAGGTTTCAATCTGGTGGCTTGAATATAATAATATTATTATTAATAATAGCAAGTATATATATTACACTAATATATACGCAGTGGCTAAGAGCTCGGCTGGTAACCAAAAGGTTGGCAGTTTGAATCCACCAGCCACTCATTGGAAACCCTATGGGGCAGTTCTACTCTGTCTTATAAGGTCACTATGAGTTGGAATCAACTTGATGGCTATGGGTTTGGTTGTATATTATAATTACTATGTGCCAGAAGGTCCCTGGGTGGTGCAAGCGATTTGTGCTCAACTACTAAACTAAAGGTTGGCAGTTCAAACTCACCCAGTAGCAGCACCATGGAAGGAAGGCCTGGTGATCTGCCTCTGTAAAGATGTCAGCCAAGCAAACCCTATGGAGCGGTTCTACTCTGTAATACATGAGGTTGCCATGAGTTACAAACCACTTAACAGCACCGGCTTTGGGGTTTGTTTGTTTTCTTTTTGGTCTATGTGCCAGGCCCTGTTTTAAGGACTTTAGATATATTA